GACTATAGACTAGACTATAGACTAGACTATAGACTAGACTATAGACTAGACTATAGACTAGACTATAGACTAGACTATAGACTAGACTATAGACTAGACTATAGACTAGACTATAGACTAGACTATAGACTATAGACTAGACTATAGACTAGACTATAGACTAGACTATAGACTAGACTATAGACTAGACTATAGACTAGACTATAGACTAGACTATAGACTAGACTATAGACTAGACTATAGACTAGACTATAGACTAGACTATAGACTAGACTATAGACTAGACTATAGACTAGACTATAGACTAGACTATAGACTAGACTATAGACTAGACTAGACTAGACTAGACTATAGACTAGACTATAGACTAGACTATAGACTAGACTATAGACTAGACTATAGACTAGACTATAGACTAGACTATAGACTAGACTATAGACTAGACTATAGACTAGACTATAGACTAGACTATAGACTAGACTATAGACTAGACTATAGACTAGACTATAGACTAGACTATAGACTGGACTATAGACTAGACTATAGACTGGACTATAGACTAGACTATAGACTAGACTATAGACTGGACTATAGACTAGACTATAGACTAGACTATAGACTAGACTATAGACTAGACTATAGACTAGACTATAGACTAGACTATAGACTAGACTATAGACTAGACTATAGACTAGACTATAGACTAGACTATAGACTAGACTATAGACTAGACTATAGACTAGACTATAGACTAGACTATAGACTAGACTATAGACTAGACTATAGACTAGACTATAGACTAGTCTGAGAGTTAAGGAAGTTCAGCGTCAAAGCTGACCACCCCGCGAAGTAGTACCTGGTGGCAGTTCCGCGGAGTGTGGTGTTGACGATGGTGGTGGTTGTAGTCGGTAGGAATCCGACATACCCTTTATGGGACCTATGTAAGGTTTCCTCCTCCACTATACCAAAAAAAAAAACTATAGACTAGACTATAGACTAGACTATAGACTAGACTAGACTATAGACTAGACTATAGACTAGACTATAGAGTAGACTATAGACTAGACTATAGACTAGACTATAGACTAGACTATAGACTAGACTATAGACTAGACTATAGACTAGACTATAGACTAGACTATAGACTAGACTATAGACTAGACTATAGACTAGACTATAGACTAGACTATAGACTAGACTATAGACTAGACTATAGACTAGACTATAGACTAGACTATAGACTAGACTATAGGCTATACTATAGACTAGACTATAGACTATACTATAGTCTAGGCCATGAACTACACTATAGACTGCACTATATACTAGGCTAAAGACTACACAATTGTTGCGTTAAAAAAGTTTGGGAAACACTGCTTCAGAAAATCATGCTGTTTTAACCATTTTGTTATCAGTTTTATTTATATAAAAAAATCCAGTTCACGCAATTATTTAACAAAAATAACATAGGCATTTACAATACAGTTTGTAATTGGAAAATTATTTTTTTAAATTTATTTAATCAAGGATATTTAACCAAGTTTTTTATGCAGACATCCTTGTAAACACAAATATGTATGTAGTTTTTTTAATTATAATTTTTATCGCACCGTATACCAGGTGCTTAATAAATTTATTTTTTTACATTAAATTTCAAAAAAATGGTATTAAAATGCATTTAATCTTTAACATAAATTCTATTTAATTTAAATAAAATTTTTAGTTTGGTTTAAGGCTTTACAGTGTTGCTGGTATGTTGGTAATTAGTGTTGTAAATATTTATATGTATAAGCAAAAATATTTTAACCATATGTTTGGTCAGATTTTTTCTTTCTTTCCTTTTATTTACTTAATAATTTAATTCATTAGTTTTTTTTTTGGTTACCATATGATAATTATTGCAAAAATGCGGCACGCTGTTAATTAAATAATTTTGGTTTTGTAAATGAAACTGGAGTAAAACAAAAAAAAAAAGCAAAATAATTTACAATTATAACGGAGTTTGTGGCTAAATATATATAAATATATAGAAATATCGCGTATTTAATAGATATTTAAGTATTAATGATAATTAAAATGTTAATGGTGTAATTATGTTTTCAAATTCAAATCCAGACTATACAGTTGACTATAGTCCAGAATATAGACTTGATTATAGTCCAGACTATAGACTAGACAATAGTCCAGACTATAGACTGGACTACAGTCCAGCCGATAGGATTGTCTATTGTCCAGTCTATAGACTTCACTACAGTATAGACTGTAGACTGGACTCTAGACTAGACTATAAACAAGACTATAGACCAGTCTATAGATTGGATTATAGACTGCACTAGACTAGACCAAAGTCCAGATTGCAGTCCAGACTATTGTTTAGACTATAGTTCAGACTATAGACTAGACAATAGTTCAGACTATAGACTAAACTATAGCCAAGACTATAGACTAGACTAAACTATAGTCCATACTATAGCCTAGACTAGATTATAATTGATACAATATACTATAGACAAACCGTAGACTTGACAATAGTCCAGACTATAGACTAGACTATAGTCCAGACGATAGACTTGACTATAGTCCAGCCGATAGAATCGTCTATGGTCCAGACTATAGACTTCACTATAGTGTAGACTATAGACTGGACTCTACACTAGACTATAGAGTAGACTATAGATTGTATTGTAGACTACACTGTAGACTAGACTTAAGTCTAGGCTATGATCTAGATTATAGTCCAGACTATTGTCTAGACTATAGTTCAGACAGTAGACTAAACTGTAGTAATGTTAATTATGTAATTATGTTTTTACTTGAACTTTACAATTTTAAAATTTTTTACATAAAAGAAGTAGACTGTAATCACACAACAGTTCAGACTATAGAGCAGACGATAGTCCAGACTATAGACTAGACTATAGTTCAGACTATAGACTAAACTATAGTCAAGACTATAGACTAGAATGAACTATAGGCCAGACCATAGCCTAGACTAGACTATAGTTGAGACAATATTCCAGACTAAAGATTAGACTATGGTCCTGATTGTAGGCTAGACTATAGTCTTAACTATTGACAAGACTATAGTCCAGACTATGGACTAGACTATGGTCCCGACTATAGACTAGAATATAGACTAGTAGTCCAGACTATAGACTTGTCTATGGTCCAGACTGTAGACTTGTCTATGGTCCAGACTATAGACTTCACTCTAGTACAGACTATAGGCTGCACTCTAGACTAGACTGTAGACTAGACTATGGATTGGATTATAGACTACGGTGCAGACTAGACTATAGTCTAGACTATTATATAGATTATAGTCCAGACTATAGACTAGACTATAGTTCAGAATAAAGACTAGACTATAGTTCGTACTATAGACTAAACTATAATCAAGACTATAGACTATACTATAGTGCAGACCATAGGCTAAACTATAGATTAGACTATATTTCAGACTATATATTAGACTATATTCCACATTATAGACTAGACTATTGTCCTGAGTATTGATTAGACTATTGTCCAGCCTGTTGACTAGACTATAGTCCAGATTATTGTCTAGACTACAGACTAGACTATATTCCAGACCATAGACCAGCTATAGTCCAGACGTTAGACTAGATTATAGTCCAAACTGTAGACTAGACTATAGTCCAGACTATACACTAGACTATAGTCCATACTATAAACTAGACTATAGTCCATACTGTAGGCTAGATTATAGTCCATACTATAGACTATACTATAGTCCATACTATAGACTATACTATAGTTCAAACTATAGACTAGACTATAGTCCAGGCTATAGACTATAGTCCAGGCTATATACTACACTATAGTCCAGGCTATAGAATGGACTGTAGTCCAGGCTATAGAATGGACTATAGTCCTGGCTATAATCCAGACTATAGACCGGACAAAAGACTGGACTGTATTGGAGACTATAGACTAGACTATAGTCTAGACTATAGTCTAGACTATATACTAGACTATAGTCTAGACTATAGACTAGACTATAGTCCAGGCTATAGACTAGACTGTAGTCCAGACCATAGACTAGATTATAGCCCAAACTATAGAGTAGACTATAGTCCAGGAAATAGACTAGACTATAGTCCAAACTATAGACTAGGCTATAGTCGAGACTAAGATTAGACCTTAGTCCAGAGTATATACTAAACTATAGTCCAAACTATAGACTATTGACCAGACTATAGTTTAGACTATAGTCCGGACCAGAGACTTGATTATAGTCCAGGCTGTAGACTAGATTATAGTTCATACTAGAGGCTTATATAACTATAGATTAGGCTAGTTTTATTTTTACTCTTACATTCAGTCTGTTACCTAAAAGTAGACTATATATTTAAAAGTATTATTTTTCATTGTAAGCTAATGAGGCATAACCCAGCAAATTTTTTTTGTACATTTTTAAACGCTCTTTTTTATGATTTTATCGTTATTAACATAAAGTGCTTTTAAAATAAAATCTATTAAATTAGTAACCTGTTTTTTGCTCCTGCTGTGCTTTACTTTATCTCTCTCATTTTGTTTAATATACCTTCATATTAAAGTCTACTTTTAGGATTTACATAAAATTATATTGTTTTAGAAAGGAATGTAAAAAAAAGTTACTTTCCAGTGTCATTAGTAAAATTACATTAGCAGAATAGAAGAGAATATAATTACACCATGAAACAGTTTTATTAAATGATTTTCTTGCATTATTAAATATAATTCTTAAACATTTTTTATTAATAAAATCTCTATGTTTTTTTCTTCTTTTTTCTTAAACGTAATTATGTTCACAAAATTTACATTATTGTAAATGTGTGTGCGTTTTGTGAAATTATTACATTATCCTGTTACATGCAACAACAACAACATGGCAACAACAATAATTTTCTTGTGCGTGTGTGTATGTGGTTTTGTAAATTTATTTACGTTTGGTTGATTTTGGTTTGTTGCCACTTCTGTAACGTACATCCTTTTAGTACTGGATGCTGAGTAAAGCTGGTGAAATACGCAGAGATGAGGCTTGTCTCGATTATGCAGGACATGATGTTATGCTCTATCCTTGCCATGGTTCTAAAGGAAATCAGGTAAGACTGTAATATATATATATATATGAATTCTTTGTTACTACTTAGTCATACTTAGAATGGCTCCATTGTGCTTCCTTTTTTGTTTGCGTGAGTGAGTGTGAGTGTCTTCATCTCGTTATTTATGCTGGAACAATTAATGAGTGTAAAGAAGTAAAAATTAATTTCATATTTTCATAGCTGCACGTTTATATACAAACATATTATTTTGGGGGAGTTTGGTTGTAGGTTCTCATTTTAGATTCCTGTTCACGACAGTGATTTTCTAAACCATTAACAATGACAATAGACACGTTTATGTGTGTGGCATTAAACACATGTGTATTTACCCTGCAGTGTTTAAAGTGGCGAAGGTTAACTTGCCGTAAATAACTTGAATATGGCTCAAGTTGGTTTAAATTGCTTTTATCAAGACCCTTTATCCTTTGAAGTACAAAGTTGCAATATTTCTTAAAAACTTGACTATGATTCTTGTCACTGGTTACTTTATTAACTCCTGGTAATTGATTCGGTGGCTATTGTAAATGCCCAACTAGCTTATTCTTGGCTTATCACTTTGAAAAGTAATTTTACTTACCATGATAACAACCTACAGTCAGATCTTTAAACTAGTTTGAAGAAAGTTGTCCCAATTATTTCCTTTTCAGTAACTACTGATATCTCTTAAATCCCCCTAACAGGTTCTCCGATTTGCCAGGTATAAGTATATAAGTACATAGAAATGTTTTTGCATACTGTTTATAGTTAATGTACATTTTCAGTTTCACACACGTCTGAATCCATATGAGTTGATGTTTATTTAAAAAAAAAAATCATAAAAATAATTGTATTTTTGATTTAAATCACTTTTGGTAAATGGTGACGAAAATATGTCTTATTGTTTTAAATTATCAAACAAATCCTACTGGATGCATTTAACAGGCTTATATAGATTTCATCATCAGCGATATTTAATCATTTTAAATTTATAAATGTAAATACCATGATATATTTGGGGAAAATTTCATGTAGAATGAATGAAATAAATCTTGAAATCTTTAATATTTGGACTATGGTCCAAACTCTCGTCCAGCCTATAAACTGTAAAGACTAGACTATAGTAGTCCACTTTATAGACTAGACTATCATCCAGACGATAAACTTTAGTCTATACTATAGACTTAACTTCAGAATATAGACCAGACTATATTCCAGAACATAGACTATAGATATATAGATAGACTGGAGTGCCTTCCAAGCTATAGACCAGACTAAAATCACGACAATAGAGAAGACTCAAATAGACTAGACTATAGCCCAAAGTCTGATACAGGCTACAGACCAAATTATAGTAGATATTGTCCAGACTATAGACTCTACCATATATTAGACTTTAAACTAGACTATATACTAAACTCTACTCTGTAGACTATACTGTAGACTACACTGTAGACTAGACTATAGACTGGACTATAGACTAGACTATAGACTATAGATTAGACAATAGATTACACTATAGACTAGACTATATCTGGACTGGACTATAGACTGGACTATAGACTATTCTATATACTAGACTATATACTAGACTATAGACTAGCCTATAGATTGGACTATATACTAGACTATATACTAGACCATAGACTAGAGTATATACTAGACTATAGACTAGCCTATAGACTGGACTATAGACTGGACTATAAACTAGACTATAAACTAGACTTTAGATTAGACTATAGACTACACTATAGACTGGACCATAGACTGGACTATATACTAGACTATAGACTAGACTATAGGCTAGACTATAGACTAGACTATATACTAGACTATAGACTAGACTATAGACTAGACTATATACTAGACTAGACTAGACTATAGACTAGACTATAGACTAGACTATAGACTAGACTATAGACTAGACTATAGACTAGACTATAGACTAGACTATAGACTAGACTATAGACTAGACTATAGACTAGACTATAGACTAGACTATAGACTAGACTATAGACTAGACTATAGACTAGACTATAGACTAGACTATAGACTAGACTATAGACTAGACTATAGACTAGACTATAGACTAGACTATAGACTAGACTATAGACTAGACTATAGACTAGACTATAGACTAGACTATAGACTAGACTATAGACTAGACTATAGACTAGACTATAGACTAGACTATAGACTAGACTATAGACTAGACTAGACTATAGACTAGACTATAGACTAGACTATAGACTAGACTATAGACTAGACTATAGACTAGACTATAGACTAGACTATAGACTAGACTATAGACTAGACTATAGACTAGACTATAGACTAGACTATAGACTAGACTATAGACTAGACTATAGACTAGACTATAGACTAGACTATAGACTAGACTATAGACTAGACTATAGACTAGACTATAGACTAGACTATAGACTAGACTATAGACTAGACTATAGACTAGACTATAGACTAGACTATAGACTAGACTATAGACTAGACTATAGACTAGACTATAGACTAGACTATAGACTAGACTACTAGACTAGACTATAGACTAGACTATAGACTAGACTATAGACTAGACTATAGACTAGACTATAGACTAGACTATAGACTAGACTATAGACTAGACTATAGACTAGACTATAGACTAGACTATAGACTAGACTATAGACTAGACTATAGACTAGACTATAGACTAGACTATAGACTAGACTATAGACTAGACTATAGACTAGACTATAGACTAGACTATAGACTAGACTATAGACTAGACTATAGACTAGACTATAGACTAGACTATAGACTAGACTATAGACTAGACTATAGACTAGACTATAGACTAGACTATAGACTAGACTATAGACTAGACTATAGACTAGACTATAGACTAGACTATAGACTAGACTATAGACTAGACTATAGACTAGACTATAGACTAGACTATAGACTAGACTATAGACTAGACTATAGACTAGACTATAGACTAGACTATAGACTAGGCTATAGACTAGACTATAGACTAGACTATAGACTAGACTATAAACTAGACTATAGACTAGACTATAGACTAGACTATAAACTAGACTATAGACTAGACTATAGACTATAGACTAGACTATAGACTATAGACTAGACTATAGACTATAGACTAGACTATAGACTAGACTATAGACTAGACTATAGACTAGTGTATAGACTAGACTATAGACTATACTATAGACTATAGACTAGACTATAGACTAGACTATAGACTAGACTATAGACTAGACTATAGACTAGACTATAGACTAGACTATAGACTAGACTATAGACTAGACTATAGACTAGACTATAGACTAGACTATAGACTAGACTATAGACTAGACTATAGACTAGACTATAGACTAGACTATAGACTAGACTAGACTAGACTAGACTAGACTATAGACTAGACTATAGACTAGACTATAGACTAGACTATAGACTAGACTATAGGCTAGACTATAGATTAGGCTATAGTCCATACTATAGACTAGGCTATAGTGCAGACTATAGACTAGGATATAGTCCAAATTATAGACTAGACTATCGTCCAGACTATAGACCAGACTATAGTCCAAACTATAGATTAGACTATCGTCCAGACTATAGACTAGACTATAGTCCAGACTAAAGACTAGGCCATAGTGCAAACTGTAGGCTAGACTATAGTCCAGACTATAGACTAGACTATAGACCTGATTATAGACTAGACTGTAGTCCAGACTATAGACTAGACTATAGTCTACACTATAGACTAGACTATAGTCCAGACTATAGACTAGACTATTGCCCAGACTACAGACTAGACTATTGTCCAGACTATAGACTAGACTATTGTCCAGACTATAAACTAGGATGCAGTCCGGACTATAGACTAGACTAGACTACAGACCGGTTTAAACACTTAAAAGTAGTCCAGAGTATAAACCGTAATGTATTTTACCCTATTGACTCCAGACTATCGGATTTACAATAGTCCAGACTACTGATTTTACTATAGATAGGACTTTAGTCGAGACTATAGCTTACTTCACTACAAACATTTGTATCAATCTAATATACTAAATGTATCCATCGGAAATACATCCTTTTATTCTTACATTATTGTGAAATACTTATTTGTCTTACTTCCAAAGTTTTTTTTTTTTTTTTTTTGTTGTTATAAGCCCCAAAGATAAAGAGGAATTTTGTACAAGTGTTCAGAAAGAATTAAAATTATTGTGGAAAATAATAATGGCTTTTAAGGTTCTTAGTAATGTTACGTTTGTTTGTGTCTTGTCAAGAATACTTTCGCAACAATTTACAGGAATTCCGGACAAAAGAAGCATACAATTTAAGTTTAATATGAAAAAAATGTTAAATATTTTGTTATTAATGTGGAAAAAAAAGAAAGCTTTTATCTGGTTGCGTTATTTAAAAGGGAAATAACACTTAGAAGGTTTATGTTATGTATAAAGCAGGGAGGGGCAGAAAGAGAGAACACATCAACCTTAAATAATATGTGATACATAAAGGGGTGTGTTGAAAACTTAAAAGCTGTGAATGGTCGGTGGTTTATATGTGTTGAACAGAGTATTTACAGCTCCTGTTGCTTAAGGCTGCCGACCACTGATTTAAACCTTTAAAATTTTCACAAACAATGATGTTTGGCAGAATAAGGAGTAAAATATGGAAATGCTATTTGTGCCAAGTTTGCAGTACAGTTAAACTTTACCTTTAAATAGTGTTCTTAGGGTTTCCCTTTAAAATTTTTTTAATATTTCTTTTTTCTTTACAGTTCTGGACTTATAATAGTGAGACCAAACAAATACGTCATGGCTCTTCCGACAAATGTTTGGCGATTAGTGAAAAACGTGATAAGGTATTGATGGAGGAATGCAATCGCAATCATTTGCGACAACATTGGCGTCTGGAAAACTACGATCCTTCGAAATTGTGAGGTTATTTTTTTGGGAATGGTACCCAATTTATACCAACCTCACTGTCGTCATACAAACATTGGAAATAGCAAAGAATAGTAAAAAATTATGAAAATTAGAATTTAAATAAATTTTGAAAGAATGAAGGAAAGAAAGATAATTAGTTGTTAAAGAAAACGAAAAAAAAACTTTAAAAATGTGCAATATTTTTAACAAAAAAATAGAAATTGAAAGAGAAAAGAGAAAAAACATTATAAATGACTGTTGTAAATTAAGACATACAAAAGTTTAAGCACAAAATCTTTTTTTATTTCTAAACATTTAAATAAACATAATTTGTTAATTTAGCTGGTAATTAATTGTAAAATTAAGTTAAATATTTAATAATTTTTAAAATTATCAAAAAAAATTAATGACATATTTAAATAGTTTTACTATATACATATAATAACTACTTACTACATATTCATATAGTTTTTAGTTGAATTTTATCAACGAAAGCTTGAAATCTTGCACAAATTTTAGTCTACTTTTAGGCTGTTTTCTATTTTAAATTAAATTGCCTAGTTTTGTATTGTTTTAAAGGAAAGTCACGCATGAAAGTGTCTATTCTAATAATTTCTGCCAAACTTTTTTGTTTTATTTTTTTTTAAATCAATTTAATTATATTTTAATTGTTTTTTATTATTATTATATTACGATTTTATTATTATTTTTAGGTTAATTTTAATTTTGCAACATTTTTGTAAATACACAAGTTTTCTAAATGAAATTCATATTTATGACTTAAAGTTACACTTAGAGAAAGAAACAAATGACTAAACTATACACCAGACTCCAGTCTAGACCTTAAACTAGACACTACTCTAGCATAAAGTATAAACTAGAATGTAGTCTAGATTATAGACCGGGTACTAGTCTAGAATGTGAACAAGACTTTAGTCTGGCTAGACCGTAGATAAACACTAGTTTAGATCATAGACTAGATTCTAGTCTTGGCTATAGACTAGATTCTTTTCTAGATTCTAGCCTAGACTCCAGACTAGATTATATGCTAGACTCTAGTCGAGACTATATATAGACTAGACTCTAGTCGAGACTATATATAGACTAGTCTCTAGTCTAGACTATAGACTAGACCCTAAAATAGGATATAGACTAGAGTCTAGTCTATAGTCTACACTAGAGTCTAATCTATATTCTAGACTATAGACCAGACTCTAGTCTAGACTTAGACTAGACTCTAGTCTAGACTATAGACTAGACTTAGACTATAGACTAGACTCTAGTCTAGACTTAGACTAGACTCTAGTCTAGACTATAGGCTAGACTCTAGTCTAGACTATAGAGTAGACTCTATTCTAGTCTAGACAATAAACTAGACTCTAGTCAAGACTATATACTAGTCTATATTCTAGACTATAGACTTAAACTATAGACTAGACTCTAGTCTAGACTATAGGCTAGACTCTAGGCTAGACTCTAGTCTAGACTATAGACTAGACTCTATTCTACTCTAGACAATAAACTAGACTCTAGTCTAGACAATATACTAGACTCTAGTCTAGACTATATACTAGACTCTAGTCTAGACTGGACTCTAGTCTAGACTAAACTGGACTCTAGTCTAGACTAAAAACTAGACTGTACTCTAGTCTAGACTATAGACTGGACTCTAGTCTAGAATCTAGTCATTAGATAGAGTTTAGTTTGAATTTAGACTAGAGTATAGTCTTTACTATAGTCTAAAGTTATATCTAGTCTAAACTGTAGTCTAGATGATAGTTTAGTCTAGAGTCCAGTTTGTAGTTTACACTAGAGTCTAGTTTACACTCTAGACTAGAGTCTAGTCAATATCTAGGATATGCTCTACTCTAGACTAAAGACTAGATTCTAATCTAGACTATAAACTAGACTATAGGCCAGACTCTTGTCTATACTATAGAATAGACTCTAGTCTAGACTATAGACTAGATTCTAGTCTAGACTAGAGACTGAACTCTAGTCTAGACTATATACTAGTCTGGACTATAGACCAGACTTTAGTCTAGACTATATACTAGACTCTAGTCTATACTATAGACTATACTCTAGTCTAGACAATAGACGAGACTCTAGTCTAGACTATAGACTAGACTCTAGTCTAGACTATAGACTAGACTCTAGTCTATACTATAGACTAGACTATAGACTAGACTCTACTCTAGACTATAGACTAGTTCTCTACTCTAGACTATAGACTAGACTCTAGTCTAGACTATAGACTAGACTCTAGTCTAGATTATAGACTGTAGGCTAGACTCTGGTCTATACTATAGACTGGACTCTAGTCTAGATTGTAGACTAAACTCCAGTCTAGATTATAGACTAGACTCTAGTCTAGATTATAGACTAAACTCTAGTCTATATCATAGACTACACTGTAGACTAGGCTCTAGTCTAGGCCATAATGTAGACTGTAGACTATACTCTAGTCTAGACTATAGACTAGACTCTAGTCTAGACTATAGACAAGACTCTAGTCTAGACTTTAGATTAGACTCTAATCTTGTCTTGACTTGACACTAGTCTAGACTATAAACTAGACTCTAGTCTAGACTATAAACTAGGCTTTATTCTAGACTATAGACTAGACTCTAGTCTAGACTATAGACTTGGCTCTAGTCAGACTATAGACTGGACTCTAGCATAGAATTTAGTCAGTAATATAGAGTTAAGTTTGAATTTAGACTAGATTATAGTCTTTATTGTAGACTAAAGTCATATCTAGTCTAAACTGGAGTCTAGTCTATAGTTTAGTCTAGAGCTTAGTTTGTAGTTTACACTAGAATCTAGCTTACACTCTAGACTAGATTCTAGTCTATAGTCTAGACTAGACTCTAATCTAGACTAAAGACTAGATTCTAGTCTAGACTCTACTATAGTATAGATTATTGACTAGACTCTAGCCTAATCTATAGACTATACCCCAGTTTAGACTAGATAAGACTTTAGTCTATAATAAAGACTATACTCTAGTCTAAATTCAAACTTAAATCTATACTACTGACTAGATTCTAGTCTAGAGTATAAATAGACTCTACTCTTGAGTATAGGCTAGAGTCTAGTCTAGATAATAGACATTTTTTAGTTTTTTTCTTTGAGTGTTTATCACATGATTTTATCTTAAAAAATAACCCTATACTTATTTACAAAATACTTTTCTTTCTTTGTCCTATAATTGTAAATAAAATCTTATGAAAATTATATAAAGAATTAAAAAAAAAAATACTATAACATTACTATAAATAAGTTATAAAACTATAAAAAAACATTTTGCAAAATAATTAAAATAAACTGAAAAAAAATATTTGTAGTTTATAATAATATTTAAGAGGTTAGTGATATCCTGTAAGCATTCCTGTTAAACTTAAGTTTATTAAAAAAAAACAACAACAAAAATTAATAATTTTATATTAAATTTGCTATAAAATGAAAACAAAAATAACAAAAAAATTTCATTAGGAAATCAACTAAAAGCACAAAATCTTGCCAAAAACAAAAATAAAATATTAAAAGAATTAGAAATTAAAACTACATATTAGAGTAGAATTTATAAAAATTGAGACAAAAAATAATAATTATAAAAAAATACTTCCATTTAATAGTTAAATTTAATATCATAACATATCAATTTAGTAAAAGAAATATAAAAAATAAAAATTATCATTTAAAAAAGAAAATTGGAAAGCCTCTCCTCTCCCTATATCATTTAAAATCTACATTCCTTTAAAAAATATTAATTTCTTAAAAAAAAAAATTTAACAATTAAGAGATTTGCATAATTTATACATAATTAAACGCTTACAATTTTGCATTTAATTTTGTTTAAAAACTATTTAATAGAAAAAAAAGATAAATAAACAAAATGAGAAATAATTAAAAAATAAAACTATGCTTTAATCTGACATATCCTGATTACAAATCGCTTTCAATAAAAAAATATATATTTGTTTTTGTTATTATTATTATTATTGCGTTTATAGAAATTGTTTAGAAATACATACACCCACAAAAAAACACTATTTATAATAAATTTTATGGTTTTATTTTGATTTGAATTGAAGAACTTGACCTAATGTCATTACTTACATAACTACTTCCGATAGAACTAATTCCACAAGTAATAAATTTCAATTCATCATTGATAATGGAACACACTCCAACAAATTAGAATGCTAATAGAACTTGTTCCAACTTGTTTTAGTAAAACGTTATGTAACTACTTCACTCCCCAAGATCTCGTTACAAAACTAACGAATTCCAATAAAAATTATTGCTAATAAAACTAGTTCCAAACTTTATAAGTATCTTTAGTTTTGACAATAGAAATAATCGTGTCCTGGTTATATACTTGCTCTTCCAGATTACCTTACAATCTTACAAATTCTCTTAATTGTTAAAATTAGGAAGACATTCGACGTTATGTCCCCTCTAAGACCTTCCTAGACTTGTGATCCTTTGTAACGCACTCAAAGGAAGGGAAATTCTATACTGACAAAGCAAAGTCCTCAATAAGAGGTATAGGACAATTGTGTACTTTAGACTGATCAATAGTCAGCACTAAAGACTGATCTATAGTTATGACTATAGATCGATTGATAGACTGATCTATAGTCAAGACTATAGACTAATCTATAGTCAAGACTATAGACTGATCTATAGTCAAGACTATAGACTGATCTATAGTCAAGACTATAGACTGATCTATAGTCAAGACTATAGACTGATCTATAGTCAATACTATAGAGTTATCTATAGTCAAGACTATATACTTATCCATAGTCAATAATATTGGCTGATCTATAGTCAAGACTATAGACTGATTTATAGTCAAGACTATAGACTGATCTATAGTCAAGACTATAGACTGATCTACAGTCAATACTATAGACTTATCTATAGTCAAGACTATAAAATGATCTATAGTCTAGACTATAGACTTATCTATAGTCTAGACTATTGACTGGTCTATATTCAAGACTATAGACTGATCTATAGTCAAGACTATAGACTGATCTATAGTCAAGACTATAGACTTATCTATAGTCAAGACTATAGACTTATCTATAGTCAAGACTATAGACTTATCTATAGTCAAAGCTATAGAGTGATCCGTATTCAAGACTATAGACTAATCTATAGTCAACACTATAGACTATGCTATGGTCAAGACTATGGACTAAACTATGTTGAAGATTATAGACTGATCTATAGTCAAGACTACAGACTGATATATAGACAAGACTATGGTGTAATCTATAGTCAAGACTATAGAGTAGTGTGTAGTCAAGACTATGGACTGATTTATATTCAAGACTGTAGACTGATGCATAGACCGATCTATTGTCACGAATATAGACTTATCTATTGTCAAGACTATGGACTAACCTATAGTGAAGACTGGTCTATAGTTAAGACTATAGAGTGGTCTATAGTCAGTTTGAAGTCTATAGTATATAGACCAGTCTATAGTCAAGACTATAGTCAAGACTATAGACTGGTCTAAAGTCAAGACTATAAACTGGTTTATAGGCAAGACTATAGACTGGTCTATAGTCAAGACTATAAACTGATCCATAGTCAAGACTATAAACTAATCCATAGTCAAGACTGTAGACTGATCCATAGTCAAAACAATATACTGATCTATAGTCAAGTCTATAGACTGATCTATATTCAAGACTATAGACTGATCTATAGTCAAGACTATAGACTGATCTATAGTCAAGACTACAGACTGATCTATAGTCAAGATTATAAAGTAATCTATAGTCAAGACTATAGACTAATTTATGGTCAAGACTATAGACTAATCTATAGCCAAGACCATATGCTAATCTATTGTCAAGACTATGGACGAAACTATGTTTAAGACTATAGACTAATCTATAGTCAAGACTACATACTGATCTATAGTCAAGACTACATACTGATCTATTGTCAAGACTATATACAAATCAATAGTCAAGACTATAGACTGATCTATAGTCAAGACTATAGACTGATCTATATTCATAGACTGATCTATAGTCAAGACTATAGATAGATCTATTTGCAAGACTATAGACTGATCTATAGGCAAGACTATAGACTGATC